CAGTGGAACGTTCCAGGATCGTCGAGGATCGACTCAGGAAGCGTGGGACCCTCACACCATCGAGGGACAGGCGTCGTGAGCCAGGAATGTAAGGTAGATCATTTTCCCTCCCATTACCCCTTGTGTGAGTAGGCTAGTTAGGCCACAATATTTACTTATGTATGTGGCAATGGGACATTAATGCCTTAGTAGTAGAATAGGCTGCAAGGCATCTAGTGTCCAGGACTGTCAGAGGGGACAGTGTGTATGGATGGCAGGACAGTGAAGAAGAGGCGCCGACGTAGTGAAGAGGCCCTCCTGTGAGAGAGTGTGGGACCCCTGTCTTTCTGCCCAGTTGAAGGAGTGTTGGAGGTCGTGGAAGAAGAGGCTGACGATCTCCAGACTTATTATCCTTATTTTCATATTCCTGTTTTACTTGTGATTGTATGTGTGTTCATGTAATTTGCATCAGTAAATTCACACATTTTATCATTGTGTTTAAATGTGCCTCCATTTATAATATTTCTCTATGAGCATACACGAAGGTTATCATAGTACCACCTAGGGAACACTACGTTCTCTATAGAAGTTCTTATTGCCTGGAGAGTGGTAAAGACAGCACAGACTTACATAAAAGTGTACCCTTAGCCATCCGATCAGTATCAGTGCCTGAATGGTGGCAACTATTAACATAGTTGAGGTAAGTGGCTAGAGAGAGGTAAAGCCACACAGACCTTCCTGGGAGAGTACCCTGGGCCAACAGTCTAGCAGCAGATCTATGGGAGTAGCAATCTTCTGGCTACAAACAATATATAATACACCCACTGAACTGCATTGCTGGGGTGCAGATATAATAACACAGCTGGCGACCTTGTTAAGAAGAAGATAGATAACAGGCGGGAAAAGAGTTCCTGCAACCTTTTTGTCTGGCAGGCAAGACTCAGGGAGGTTATGGTTATAAGGTAAGCCTGAGTCTTCCTTCACTCCTCCACGGGTCTAGGCCGGAACTGTTAACAGTAGTTCCCCCGTGTTTGACTGAACGGCTTCCAGGGTGAACCAGTGGCACCCCTTTTGTGGTGGAAGCAAAGACCTGCGGAGGTAGGCATTGTTGGTCCTCTTCTGTGTGACCAAAGGACTCCGGTGAATCCCGGGAGTCGGATGGGCTGAGTATTCGGCCTTTTGAGCCCCTAGCAGCTGAGTGCTAGCAGAGCCCCGGCCCACCCCCCACATGAGAATATATATATATATATATATATATATATATATATATATATATATATATATATATATATATATATATGTCGTACCTAGTAGCCAGAATGCACTTCTCAGCCTACTATGCAAGGCCCGATTTGCCTAATAAGCCAAGTTTTCCTGAATTAATATATTTTCTCTAATTTTTTTCTTATGAAATGATAAAGCTACCCATTTCATTATGTATGAGTTCAATTTTTTTTTATTGGAGTTAAAATTAACGTAGGTATATGACCGAACCTAACCATTCCTACCTAACCTAACCTAACCTATCTTTATAGGTTAGGTTCGGTTAGGTAGCCGAAAAAGTTAGGTTAGGTTAGGTTAGGTAGGTTAGGTAGTCGAAAAATCGTTAATTCATGAAAACTTGGCTTATTAGGCAAATCGGGCCTTGCATAGTTGGCTGAGAAGTGCGTTCTGGCTACTAGGTACGACATATATATATATATATATATATATATATATATATATATATATATATATATATATATATATATATATATATATATATATATATATATATATGTCGTACCTAGTAGCCAGAACTCACTTCTCAGCCTACTATTCAAGGCCCGATTTGCCTAATAAGCCAAGTTTTCCTGAATTAATATATTTTCTATAATTTTTTTCTTATGAAATGATAAAGCTACCCTTTTCACTATGTATGAGGTCAATTTTTTTTTATTGGAGTTAAAATTAACGTAGATATATGACCGAACCTAACCAACCCTACCTAACCTAACCTAACCTATATATCTAGGTAAGGTTAGGTTAGGTAGCCAAAAAAAGCTAGGTTAGGTTAGGTTAGGTAGACGAAAAAACATTAATTCATGAAAACTTGGCTTATTAGGCAAATCGGGCATTGCATAGTAGGCTGAGAAGTGAGTTCTGGCTACTAGGTACGACATATATATATATATATATATATATATATATATATATATATATATATATATATATATATATATATATATATATATGTTATGAGTATATATATATATATATATATATATATATATATATATATATATATATGTTGTACCTAGTAGCCAGAACGTCGTACTCGGCCTACTATGCAAGGCCCGATTTGCCTAATAAGCAAAGTTTTCCTGAATTAATATATTTTCTCAATTTTTTTTCTTATGAAATGATACAGCTACCCATTTCATCATGTATGAGGTACATTTTTTTTATTGGAGTTAAAATTAACGTAGTTATATGACCGAACCTAACCAACCCTACCTAACCTAACCTAACCTATCTTTATTGGTTAGGTTCGGTTAGGTAGCCAAAAAAGTTAGGTTAGGTTAGGTTAGGTAGGTTAGGTTGTCAAAAAACAATTAATTCATGAAAACTTGGCTTATTAGGCAAATCTGGCCTTGCATTGTAGGCTGAGAAGTACTGTATCACTTCGCGTTCGCGTTCTGGCTACTAGGTACGATATATATATATATATATATATATATATATATATATATATATATATATATATATATATATATATATATATATATATATATATATATATATATATATATATATATATATATATATATATATATATATATGCGAACAAGCCTGAATGGTCCCCAGGACTATATGCGAATGAAAACTCACACCCCAGAAGTGACTCGAACCCATACTCCCAGAAGCAACGCAACTGGTAACTACAGGGCGCCTTAATCCGCTTGACCATCACGGCCGTCAAAAGGAAGTGATAGCCGAGGCTATTTGAGCCACTTCCCCGACGGCAACTCGGATGGTAATCTTGGGCATAGCATTTCACCAAATCACCTCATTCTTTGGGGCACACGTGAGGAACACAAATGCGAACAAGCCTGAATGGTCCCCAGGACTATATGCGAATGAAAACTCACACCCCAGAAGTGACTCGAACCCATACTCCCAGAAGCAACGCAACTGGTAACTACAGGGCGCCTTAATCCGCTTGACCATCACGGCCGTCAAAAGGAAGTGATAGCCGAGGCTATTTGAGCCACTTCCCCGACGGCAACTCGGATGGTAATCTTGGGCATAGCATTTCACCAAATCACCTCATTCTTTGGGGCACACGTGAGGAACACAAATGCGAACAAGCCTGAATGGTCCCCAGGACTATATGCGAATGAAAACTCACACCCCAGAAGTGACTCGAACCCATACTCCCAGAAGCAACGCAACTGGTAACTACAGGGCGCCTTAATCCGCTTGACCATCACGGCCGTCAAAAGGAAGTGATAGCCGAGGCTATTTGAGCCACTTCCCCGACGGCAACTCGGATGGTAATCTTGGGCATAGCATTTCACCAAATCACCTCATTCTTTGGGGCACACGTGAGGAACACAAATGCGAACAAGCCTGAATGGTCCCCAGGACTATATGCGAATGAAAACTCACACCCCAGAAGTGACTCGAACCCATACTCCCAGAAGCAACGCAACTGGTAACTACAGGGCGCCTTAATCCGCTTGACCATCACGGCCGTCAAAAGGAAGTGATAGCCGAGGCTATTTGAGCCACTTCCCCGACGGCAACTCGGATGGTAATCTTGGGCATAGCATTTCACCAAATCACCTCATTCTTTGGGGCACACGTGAGGAACACAAATGCGAACAAGCCTGAATGGTCCCCAGGACTATATGCGAATGAAAACTCACACCCCAGAAGTGACTCGAACCCATACTCCCAGAAGCAACGCAACTGGTAACTACAGGGCGCCTTAATCCGCTTGACCATCACGGTGATTTGGTGAAATGCTATGCCCAAGATTACCATCCGAGTTGCCGTCGGGGAAGTGGCTCAAATAGCCTCGGCTATCACTTCCTTTTGACGGCCGTGATGGTCAAGCGGATTAAGGCGCCCTGTAATTACCAGTTGCGTTGCTTCTGGGAGTATGGGTTCGAGTCACTTCTGGGGTGTGAGTTTTCATTCGCATATAGTCCTAGGGACCATTCAGGCTTGTTCGCATTTGTGTTCCTCACGTGTGCCCCAAAGAATGAGGTGATTTGGTGAAATGCTATGCCCAAGATTACCATCCGAGTTGCCGTCGGGGAAGTGGCTCAAATAGCCTCGGCTATCACTTCCTTTTGACGGCCGTGATGGTCAAGCGGATTAAGGCGCCCTGTAGTTACCAGTTGCGTTGCTTCTGGGAGTATGGGTTCGAGTCACTTCTGGGGTGTGAGTTTTCATTCATATATATATATATATATATATATATATATATATATATATATATATATATATATATATATATGTCGTACCTAGTAGCCAGAACTCACTTCTGAGCCTACTATGCAAGGCCCGATTTGCCTAATAAGCCAAGTTTTCATGAATTAATTGTTTTTCGACTACCTAACCTAACCTAACATAACTTTTTCGGCTACCTAACCTAACCTACCCTATAAAGATAGGTTAGGTTAGGTTAGGTAGGGTTGGTTAGGTTCGGTCCTATATCTACGCTAATTTTAACTGCAATAAAACGCTAATTTTAACTGCAATAAAAAAAACTGACCTCATACATAATGAAATGGGTAGCTTTATCATTTCATAATAAAAAAAATAGAGAAAATATATTAATTTATGAAAACTTGGCTTATTAGGCAAATCGGGCCTTGCATAGTAGGCTGAGAAGTGAGTTCTGGCTACTAGGTACGACATATATATATATATATATATATTATATATATATATATATATATATATATATATATATATATATATATATATATATATATATATTTTTTTAATCAATAAAGTTTACAAAATACCAACTTGGGGTCGTTGATGATATCGATGAGAGCGTTGACAATCATGTCAACAGTGATTTCCTCCCACACCAGAGTTCGCCCCAGACGAAAGTCCCTCACTATGAGAGCATTCCTGGGCTGGTCTCCGAACACAGGGAGGGCGAGGAGGGGCGTGGCGTGATAGACGGCCTCCTGCAGACCCATCAGACCACAGTGTGTGATGAACACCTTGACGTTGTCGTGGGCTGCGGTAGAATTGTTGTTAAATGTAAGACTTTATTTAAGTAAAATGGGTTTTAACACCTGTCATTGTTTTTGGAGTAGATTGGAGTTTATGAGGGCAATTATGAATTCGTACTATATTCTTTTGGTAATCTCTCAATGAATCTGCATCGTAAGCAATTTCCTACATATGTTTAAGTGTACACATACAAACAATTAAACCCACCGAGAATATCCTGCTGGGGAAGCCACATGTTGGTCATCACGTTGTCAGGGAGGTTCTCAATTACACCTTCGTATTTCCAGATGACGCGCTGCGGCAGCCTGCGGAAGGCCTCGATGAAGAAGTTGCGGTACTGGACTGGCATATCGGTGCCTTGCGTTATGGAGCCCAAACTAAAGTAGATGACGCCAGCAGACCCCGCCCCTGTGATCCATGACTCCAGATTCTGCAAAGTGATGTTGGGGGAACTTATTCCCGAGATTCTGGATAGTTTTAATGAAGTGAATCATCTCCAAACGCAAATTGTATGTTGAATGAAAACAAAAGGATTATTCAATTAAATATTATAACATCTGTCAATAGTGCAGTTTTTGCAACACTAAAACTACAGTGACAGTAGTACTGAGGTGTCGTTAAAGAAGAAGAAGAATGCATAAATCTGGGGGCACGAAAACATGTAAGGATAAGGATGTGAAATAATCTTTGTTAGACAAGACTTTATTAAGGATTATTTCGCCACCTGTGAGGGCAGGAGGGGAAGGACAACTCACCTGGGGCAGAGGGCTAGCGGGTCGACAGTGCATGCCGCCCACCTCTACCTGTGAGGGCAGAAGGGGCAGTGGTATATCAATACTAAAGTGGGTGTTGATCAGTGCCAGACTCATGTTCCTCTCCAGGTCCAACAGCGGAGGCAGCTCCGGGAACTGCGCAGAGATCTGAGGAATAAGACCAGATCCGTACTGCACGCTGGTCAGTAATTTATTCAATGAGTACAGTAGTTCTTGTGGAGAAGAATGAGTGCAAACCCTACAGTGTAAAATGGAAAAGGTGGGCTCTTAATTCCAATTATCGTGTATAATATCTTACAAAAATGATAAAATAAAAAATAGAACTTAATGAATCGTGAAAATGTCACACCTGTACCAAGAGGAAATCAAATATAACTGCAGATAATCCAGTCACCCTTCTTACTTCTTAATTTCTCCAATAATCAGTGCAGCTGATCTCGACTCACCTCTTTTTGAACCAGGGGTAAATACACCCATGACTTCAAATACAAGGCTTGAAATATGAGAATAAGTGTGTTGAGGAACTTCTGCCAGGGCGTCATCGGGATGGCGTACGGGAATAAGATGTTTGTTACGTAAGCTGGGTTGTAAACATTGCCCATGATTGCTGCCTGACGTACGTTGACCGCTGTTGCTAGTACGGACACGAATGGAACCTCATGCACGAATGGATACGCCATCTGTAAGGAAGATTTAGACCACGATATCCTTCAGCAGATGTACTGTAGAAAATTATGCTGTCGTTACATATTTCGAGTATTACAATGAACTGATAAAAATATCATCACTCTATTAGGAATATCAATTTTTGTATACATCAAAATCCTTGATTTAAAAGAATTAGGCGATTGTGTTTTTTTAAAATAGAATTTTAATTGTTTTGTTATGTTTTATTGATGTTCAATTGCCACTATTAACTAAGTACTTTAATTTTCTTTATTGTGAAATTTTATTTTGTATATGGAGAACTTTCTTCATCGGTACCCAAGTCTACCCAGTGATTGGGTCAATCTAGTGCTTGGGTCGACCCAGTACCCGGTGCTAGAGTCGACCCGGTACCCGAGTCTACCCGTGGCTTGGGTAGACCCGGTATCCAAGTCTAGCTGGTGCTTGGGTCAACCTGGTGCTTGGGTCGACCCGGTACTCGGTGCTAGGGTCGACCCGGTGCTTGGGTCGACGCGGTATCCAAGTCTACCCGGTGCTTGGGTCAACATGGTGCTTGGGTCGACCCTGTACCCGGTGCTAGGATCGACCCAGTACCCGAGTTTACCCAGAGATAGATCCCGATACGCCTGTTGAGCTCAGTGTCCAGGGAAACGGTGTCTGAGATTGTGGAGTCGTGGTACACAAACTCGTGAACTGCTTCCAGCACATAGTCTGCTGTTTATACAGGGGTAGCTCATTGATGTCGTGTCCCATCACCTGTGTCTTCTTCAGGCTGATTGTCAGGCCGAATGCGGAACAGGCTGTGGCAAAGCAGTTGAGTAGCTGCTGCAGGCATTCTGCTGTGTGTGTGGTGATCACTGCGTCGTCGGCGAAAAGGAACTCCCTGAGGATTCGCATCTGTACTTTCGTCTTTGCTCGGAGTCTGGATAAATTATAAAGCTTTCCATCAGATCTTATACGGAGATAGATGCCTTCTGTGGTTGTTCCAAATTCATGCTTGACGAGGATCGCGAAGAAGATGCCGAACAGGGTTGAGCAAGAACGCACCCTTGTATAACCCCTGTTGATGTTGAATGGTTCTGAAGTTGAGCCATCGTACACAACTGTTCCCTTCATGTCCTTGTGGAACGATTGTATCATGCTGAGTAGGGTGGGTGGGCAGTCAATCTTGGCCAAGATCTTGTCCGTCCCTGCTCACGAGGTCGAAGGCCTTTGTAAGGTCAATGAAGGCAATGTACAAGGCTTTTCTCTGCTCCCTGCACTTTTCTTGAAGCTGTCTCAGGGAGAACATCATGTCAGTGGTCGACCTCTCTGCTCGGAAACCACACTGTGATTCAGGGTACACTCTTTCAGCAAGAATCTGAAGCCTGACCAAGAGGACCCTGGCGAAGAGTTTGCCGACGACGCTGAGGAGGGAGATGCCGCGATAGTTGTTGACATCGCTTCTGTCACCTTTATTTTTGTAGAGAATGATGATGTTTGCATCCCTCATGTCTTGTGGCACCGAGCCCTTCCTCCAGCACTGGCACAGGAGTTCATGAAGCTCAGTTTTAAGTGTTCCACCATAGCACTTGAGAACTTCAGGCGGAATCCCGTCGGCTCCTGGGGCCTTCCCTGAAGAAAGTGAATCCACTGCTTTCTCAACTTCCTCCACAGTCAGTTCAAGATCAAGTTCTTCCATGATGGGCAGGCACTTGATTGCATCCAAAGCCTCTATGCTGACCAAGTTCTCTCTGGAGTAGAGTTCAGAGTAATGTTCCACCCAGCAAGTCATCTGTTGATCACAGTCTTTAAGGATCTCTCCAGTGGCTGACGTCAGAGGAGCCGTCCTGTTTTGTGTAGGGTTTGTTGCCTGTTTGATCCCTTCGTACATGCCTCTTATGTTGCCGACAGTGGCTGCAGTTTGGATGCTGGAACAGAGTCGGAGCCAGTAATCTTTAGCACAGCAACTTGCAGTTTGTTGAACTCTTCTGTGGGTAGTACGGAGGGCCTGTAGGTTCCTTTCTGAGGGGAGGATCTTGTAGGATGAGAGAGCTCGTCTTTTTTCCTGTTAAAGGGGTAACAGTTCCTCTGCACTGCCCTCGAACCAATCTGCTGTCTTGTTCTGCCCCTTGCCGAAGGTGGACATGGCAGTGTTGAAATAGTGCCCATGAGATGTGACCACCTCTCTCTTGCGCAATCGCAGGGTGGTACAGGAAGGACATTAGTAGGGTAAATTATAACCATGACTGTGCGCGGCACCCGAGTCGAAGCCCGAGGATCGAACTCGGGCATAGTCAAAAGTGTGTGGGGGGTCTCCGGGGTCGCACGGTCATTGTCACGGGGGTGTTGAGGGTCATGTGGGGCAAAAGGGGTATGTAAGGGTAAGAAGGGTGTGGGGGTGATAAGTATGGAAGAGGTGTACATCAACAAAGGTGACAGTGAGAGAAAGGGGGAGGGGATGCTCGCACATGAGGCCGGTGTGTGTGAGAGTGAAGTGACGGGGTGTGTGTGATCAACAGATTTCCTCCCCCGGGAACTTGAGGGTTGGTGAGGGTAAAAGGGGAAATGGAGAAGGGGGATAGTGAGGTAGATGGACTAAGTACGGGAGGTGGTGTGCATGTTGCGTAGTTGTAAGAAGAAAAAGTGAGAATATGTGGCGTAGAGTTAAAGGTGTGGAGTTATATAGTTAAATATTTGTGGAGATATATAGTTAAATAGCAATATGTAGATAGGATATATTGAGGACGAAGAGGGCGACCCCCCTCCCATGGAGGGACGAGCCTAGGAGATCGAGATTTTTAGATGTGTGGTTAAAGGGTGGGGAGCAGCAGGATGTAGCTTTGAGTTATAGGAGAGAGAGTGAAGTGGCAATATTTTTTACCAAAAATCATTCTTACCCCAAAGTCTCTAGGCTTTCGATGTCTTCATGGGTGAGTGTGACACCTGACATTAGTTACACGTCCGAGCTGAGGGTGTGTTCTCGCTAGGGGGTCTTGAGGGTAAATGGAGTGAGAGGCAATGAGGCGTAATATTTTATGTAAACAAGCGGCTGGGCCTCCTCACCTCCCCTCCCCTGCCTTGCTTCCAGAGCACTAAGGAGTGGCGGCACATACCCACCACATGGGCCTGTGGAGTGTCACCACATGACCACATGTGCCCACACCACATGGGCACATGTGGTCATGTGGTGGCCACATGGCCACTTGACCAAAGAGGCAAAGCTCAACCCCCGCAAGCACAATTAGGTGAGCACATGGGCACATGCCACATGGCTGGTCACCTCTTTGAAGGCCTAGGCACGACTGTGGTGAATGTCATCATCAGCCTCAACTGTACCCAGTCATGCCCGCCCCCCTCCCTCTCCACCCCCCCCCCCCCCCCGCAACCACTTGACACCCCTCAGAGATGTATAGGAAGCACATACCAGCACATAGTGGGAGAGCGTTTGGGCGGGCAGATCGTTTGATCGGTCTTGTGGTCTTGAAAGGATAATCTGTCCTATCTCAAAACCGGCAGAACTTAAACATTATATTGTGGTGCGAATATTCACATAAGTAGCACATGGCCCCCTTGTGTCACACGTCCTCCTTGATGTTTGTCATCTGATTGAGTGAGGTAAATGACCACATTACTTCCCACCTAGCATTCAGCTCCGTTTACTTGCCCCTCTCAGAGTTTGAGGGGCTTACATGCCTGTCTATGTATTCATATCAAATATTGACTATAGCCTGAGGTATAGATCTTTTAATTTGGCTTGTACTCTGAGTAACGAGCCTCATCGTATACCAGTCTATAATTTTCTTCTATCAAATCAAATCAAATCAAATCACTACCAGGCATCTAAATAGCATTTTTCATTAGTCAGTAAACACAGTAAAAGCAGTCACTCAGGTAAAGTCAGTAAGCGTTTTATTGAATGTGGGACACATTTTATAGTTAGTTTAAAGTTTTTACATCTTAAAAGGTGTCTACCAGTCTTCAATTTTCTTATTATCAAATCAAATTAAATCAGTCCCAGCATCTAAATAGCATTTAGCATCACTCAGTAAAGTCAGTCAAAGTCAGTAAGCGTTTACTGAATGAGGGAAACATTTTACATCTTAAAAGGTGTCTAGATGTCTTCAATTTTGTTTCCATCAAATCAAATCAAATCAGTGCCAGCATCACTCAGTAAACTCCGTCAAAGTCAGCAAGAGTTTATTGAATGAGGGAAACATTTTACATCTTTAAAGGGGTCTACCAGTCTTCCATTTCTTATAAAAAAATCAACTAAATGGCATCACTTAGGGTGCGGGCAGCGAGTGTTCGAGCACTGCACCTCTTGATGTCTGTCGCGTGACTGGGTTAATGGCCACAATACCCCACACCATACCTGCTCCTACATACCCCTTCCCCCCAACAGTTAGCATGCTCCTTTTACTTCTCACCCCTCAGGTTGACACTTACACTCTTTTCTCGGTATACATAACAACAACAATAAGTAGTTAAAGGCATAAACCCTTTATATACAATTTTCATTCTTTACTAGCTGTACCCAACCACGCGTTGCTGTTGCTCCCCACCATTTCCCTCTCCCCGTCCCCTCAGCCTCCCAATCATTCCCCTCTCCCGCATCGCCTCGTCCTCCCAACCAATTCTCCCCTCCCCCATCGCTTTGTCCTCCCCACCATACCCTACTCCACTTCGTGTCCTCGTCCTCCTAACCATTCCCCACTCCCCCGTCTCTTCATCCTCCTAACCATTCCCAACTCCCGCATTCCCGGTCCTCCCCACCAATCCCCCACCTCCCCCATCCCCACTCTACCGTGTCCTCGTCCTCCTAACCATTTCCCATTCAACCGTCCACTCGTCTTCCCTACAATCTCCCACTCCCCCCGTCCCCTCGTTCTCCCTACAATTCCCTCCCCCCCTTCCCCATCCTCTCGTCTTCCCCACCATTCTCCACTCCCCTGTCCCCTCGACCCCACCATCCCCAACTTCCGTCCCCTTTATTATTCGAATGCAACGTTGTGTCAAAATTTCAAAGAAATCA